GGCTGAAAAGCGCTCCTTCACCTGAGAATGTTCCCCAGTTAGTAGGTGAAAACATCTGAAACAATTAACAGTTTCCAAACAGAAATAATAAAGTCAAGAAGAAATCTTCGAAGTCATTCAGTTGTGATAACTATCGATGACATTGAAAGACGTACGTTCTTTATTGAAGAAAATCATGATCAGTCATCTGCTACGCTAAAATCAAGTACTTAAACTGTTATTGTAATCCACTGTGAGAGTTACATGTAAAACATGATGTAGATACCTGTTTTTTCAGGAGAAAAATAGTATCATTAGATACTGCTATTAGTGTTGTCTTTATGGTATAGAATATGATGTTTAAGTATTATATTCTTGATCTTTGATCAAAGTCGATTTGCATAATGAAGTCAGTCAAATTTAATATATAATTTTCAATTTACTCGCATCTCTTGATTATATCTATTAGGGCACGTGAGAAGTTCAAACTTTCGCCTCTATACTTCAACACTATTTTTAGATCGTGGTTAACAAAAACAAGACGAGAAACCATATTTTATCAGAGTTGGAACAAGCTACCTATCCATTTACCTACCTACTTGCCTACTTGTAATAGGTAAAAAAAGATTAAGTGAGAAAAAAAAATTTGTTCCATTCTGGATGTCAATATTTGACTTTGCCAGGTGTGACAGCAATAGATGCACCATTGTTCTCGAACGTTGTTTCTCCTTCCTTCTATCCACAATTATCATGAACATCGATAAAATAGAAAATTTAATCACGTATTAAGATAACTCTGTGTATGAGAACAACTTCTATGTATATGGTAATAGAGAAGAAGAATAATCGGAAGAGGAATAAAATGTAGAGGATGCAGACAGAGAGTTAGAGAATAGAGGTGATAGTAGAAAATCATATGAATTAGTATTGAATATGATTGATCGCTGGAGCGTTTGCGACATTACCTAACGATTGTCATTATTAGTATAAATCTACGATACCGAAATAATTAAGACTATGAGATAAAAAGGGATAGTTTGCTGCTTTTTCATATCATTACTCTTTAGAAGAATATGAAAGCGAATAGCTGACATCGTTAAGAATTTGTATACAGAAAAGATGGTATTGCTAACTTTGCTTTTTATATTTTTCTAATATTTTTAATCAAAAGTTACTAAGCTTCTTGACAAGAAGTAGTCGATTTCTACAGTTCCGTTGAACTAAAACTGTCGTATTGTGCCGATATAAGGACAAATAGTTTTATTATTATTTTTGAATAGAAGGGTGTGAGTGTTGTTTAGGAGAAGATCTATACTCACACCCACACCCTCAAGTGCAATTAATAGTTTTAGCTAGGTGAATGTTTACAGGGATTCCGGAACTTCGCCAATTTTGACTTTCGCCAATTATTGGCGAAATTCCACAGAATGTATTGGCGAAAGTTCAATGGATCTTCGCCAATTGGCGACTGTCCAACAGATATACTGGTGAATGTCGACTGAACTTTCACCAATTGGCGAATTTCCAAAAGATATACTGACGAATTTCTTAATGCTGCTGCACAAATAGTAACAGGCATATGATTAACAATAGCTATCTGAAAAACTCGAAATCATATCATATATACTAAACTTTTTACCTATGTATTGATATGAACAGATGTTCAATGTGTTATACTTTATACTTGTTAACGCACAAATGATATTAGACTTATTTCGAATAAATCTAAAACTACAAATAAAAATTTTGATCATGTCATTTCCAACAATTTTCTTAGCATGTATTTGTTGCTGATCTCTCCGATCAATGCCACTATCATTTTTCAATTGCCCAATATCTGAAGGATTTACCGGTGCAAGTCCAGTGGAAATTCGCCAATTGGCTAATGTGAGGACAGTAAACTGGCGAAAGATCAATGGACACTCGCCAATTGGCGAATGTCAGGAAGGCACATTGGCGAAAGCACAGTGGACTTTCGCCAATGGCGAAAGTCCAAATTGCGAAAGTCTTATTGGCGAACTTCCGGTAACCCTGTTTACATAGAAGACACAGTTCCTTTTTTTGTAATTTTTATTTATGCATCAGATGATTTTATGCATCAGATGATATTATGAAAAAATGTACAGATAAGAATGGATAAAAGTGCCCAACCTTGAGTCAACAAATATTGAAGGAAACTCATCAAATTGAAATATTTAAGTTTGTCACAAAAAAAAAAAACAAAATGACAAAAATAATTTGCTTCAGTTTGAAAATTCTGTAACATATCCTGGAACGTATGGAATTGAGTTTCGGAATATTTTATATTTTTTGAAGTGCTGTTTAAAATCGAAATCTCTCGATATTTATAGTGTGCACTGCAATATGTTTTAGCAATTACTACAAAAATTATTCACTTCTAGTTACATTACCTGTCTCGGACGAAACATAAAAAGATCAGGTAACTAGATGTGTTCTTACTAACGAGAAAATTATAAAAGTATGAAACAAATCATTTTACATTTTCGAACAAAAGTCTTTTCCCTCCTCTATCTTTTTTATTTGCCATACTTAGCATCATATTTATTACTGAGTAAACATATGACACGAGAGTTTTATTACTGTGTTCTGTATACTAAAATGAAATAACATTTTCATGTCATATGTCTACTTAGTTATAAATTTAATACAGTTTGACATCATAAAAAGAGAAAGAGAGAAAAGATATTTGTTTGGAGGTGCACTTCTTTCAAGGTAACCTATGCATAAGTTTATTATATATTCAATTTCTTAGAAATAGTCAAAGAACAGATTTTAAAATGAAATGGTCAATGTAAAACCTGACATTTGTGTACGTGCACTGTTTATTTATTTATTGGAAACTTCATGAACCAGAACATGAGTGATCACCATATAAAAATTGTCAAAAAATTTGATAGAAGATTACATTTGAGAAACATTATCTCGGCAAGAATTTAAACGCGCATCTTTCTGCATTCACTGAGGATAGATGATGACACCCTCTACCAAATAAGAAAGTAAAACTCGCATCAAAGAGCGAATCGAACCGACTAATATTGGTTCGAGTTCGGTTCGGTGTGGAGTGTGGGTGTGGATGTGTGGGTGCGGGTGGGTGTGGGTTAAGTGACACTTAATTCGCACCCACACCCATAAGTACTATATGACACGAGCCCATAGGCAACAATTAAACATAAATATATATCTGACTTGGAAAATCGTAATTAATAGAATAGCATGTTTGTTGTAAAGTTTTAACTTTGTCAAAATTAATCGTCTCTACTTGAGTACCGTACACTTTGATTGCATCAGACATATATTTTGGACACTTAAAATTATATACTGTACTATTCAACCTCGTTAATAATGTTTGAAGGAAAATAATATTTTGTTCAGACACCATATTTTTATTCCCAGTGAAATCGATTCTGTCTAAACAACATTATGTAAATTCTAATAACATGGCATTGATCGAGGAAAGCCCGAATAAGTTCCGATAGGTACATGCTTTATTGACATGTTGCATCTAATAATAAACGATTAAGTCAATAAATTCAAGGAATAATCTTCTTCAACTATATTGATTGGAGGATTCAAAAAAAGCATAAATTCCAACTTACATATAACATTTTGTGCTCGTTTTATTGACTTAGTACAGTATTTTTTTCTGATGTGAGCACTTTGACAATAGCAGCAATTCTATGTTGTGGTAGTCCAGTGATACTTTTCTCTCTCATCTCTTGTTGAATGAATCTAAAAACAAGAAAGCTTCCAAACTTTATCGATTTTTCATAAAATTGCCTGCCGTTTTCGATATTCTTTGAGAGTAAAATTCGATGGAGTCTTTTCTTGGCATTCTGATTTGAGTTGACAACCTCTAAAAACTTTTTGTCGTAAACCCATTATTGTCTTTGGTTATGATTATGAAAATCCTAAATCTCATTTTTTTTTTCTTTGAATGAAAAGTTTGGAATAACATCACAGTGAATATTTCAGATGCCAAGTCACATCAAAAGAACTCTGCAACTGCTGGTATGTGTCCCACATCGTCTTATCTAGCCACTATATTCACGGTCAATGAGCAACATCAAACAACGTCAAAGAGATCGCAACTGGCACGTTCTTATTCAACAAGAACCAATTACAACACATCAACAATCTTCTAGACAATTTGCCTCAAGAATAACAATTATAATACGATCCATCGGAAGAGATCCGAAAGAATATGCAAAGACTAAGCTGAATTAGCACTAGTATCCTAAAAGAATCACAGATTAGGTGCCATTTATGGTATTCTCAACTGTTAACAAAATAAAACAGACACTGATACTATTATTATGCAACTGTCTCATTTGAACATAGACCAAATCGTTACATAGACTAATGTTGACATGCTTCTTAAAACAACTAGAGACATCATCGAGATAACAAAAAGAACAATGGCACACATTACAGAGGAGAGGATTGTCTTTCATTTTGTCAATGTCATTGAAGCAATGAATGAAGTTTTGGATGAAGATGATCGGAAATTTCATGTTTTAGTATTAGTCGATGCAACTGATGAAATAAAACACGCTATCAACACCGTCGAAAATTTCTCGGTTCGTTTTGAAACGAGTGAAAGCTGAAGAAGCTTACTTTTTAAAATGTTCTGCCTATACAGTGCAGATAATGGTAATGGTGAATTCTATAATATTGAAAAAGAGACGAATATGATACATAAAATATGAAAATGAATTTATTCAAATGGATATGCTTTAAGAAGCACGAAAGACTTGTTTAACCAAGACCATGAAATTTAGAAGAGGAATCAAATCTGAACCTTCGTATTACTGACAAAAAATATCAAATATCAATTTGAATTCGATCCTGTCATGTTTATTGTTCAATTAGCAAACATTAATGAAAAAACTTGAACAAAATGTAATCGAGCATCTTTTGGAGAATTAGATTAAACTTTGTATACCATATACTCTTTAACTAAGCATAAAAAGATGAAGGAATACAAAATTCTTTATTTTATTTCAGAATAAATAAAAATCAACTTCATATAGAAATTATTCTAAAATACAAATACTATTTTTCCATTAGTCTCATTTTTATCTCTCAAAAATCATATCGTTACAAAAAAAACGAACATATTTTTCAGAAGTATTACATTACCATTGAATATCCACATTGTGTACAATATTTAGCATTAAATATACATTTTTGATTACTACAATTTGGACAATCGCTAAAGATTCCTTGTGAAAATAAACGAATGACTTTATCATAGGATGGTGGCGAAGGAGTTGCTGGAGCAATTATATGGTGAGAATGTTGTTCATTATCTAATGATGTCGTGGCTTGTTCGAGACCTAGCACAAGAGCAGAAGCAGCTAAAGTCTCAGCAGATGGATTCAACTGAACTGATCTCGAATCAATTGGTTCACATACAGAAGGTACTGTTGCTGATACTGCTCTCTGCTGTTGAAGACGAAATTCTACAGTCAGCTAAGAAAAGACATTGTAGTGGTTTCGAAGAGCATCAGCAGTTTAGAATTTGTAGTAAAGATTTGGAAGACAGTAAAAACATCACTCAATAAATGAATACGTACTTTAAACTTTTTGCCTGACGCTCGATCACCAATCTTTTCTATGATCCATTTGCCATAGGCTATTCGATAAATAGTCATAAATTCTTCATCGGCAATTGTTTGTATATCAGATTGTAATTTTCTAAAACGTTTCGCCTTTTTTTCAGTACTAAATTTATCACAAGCAGAGCAACAGATAGTTACAATGCCAATTATTGATCTGTGACAAAATAAGAACAAACATTTTGTTAGTGCATGCTATAGTTATTTTAGAATTTAGTTATCTGATTGAATTCTAAGTTTGACTATAGCATAGAAGGATGAATCGCATCTTAATTATACAATTGTATCATCAATATGAAGTCATTCATATCTCGTATCTATAATCATCGAATGATTTAAAAACTTCTGTAATCTGCATTACACACGTATACTTTTTATTAAAGTCTACTAGAGAAAAAACGCAAGTAATTAGAATCTAACTTCAGAAACATGTACTTTTAATAGATAGACACTTTTTTCAAATTCCTGGAATTTCGAATAAATTACAAACGTGAGATGCTTTCGACGAGACTTTGGTTTATACATCTATACAAGAGTGATAATTCTAATGAGATCACTCAGCTTATGAGCCTGGTGAACTTTTGGAATACCATCTCTATTGTAAAAAGGAGGAGAGAAAAAACCTGCATGAACAGAAAATATCCACAATAGATACTGTTCATAGATTGAGTTATGGTACTCAAAGGATTAATGTATAATTTGTTTCATTGTATGAAAAATTACAGTTTAGAACCAATTATCGTGAAACTTGATGTACACAATTTTACTATTCAATCTTATTTTTGAGCAAAGCGACAAAGACAATAAGTTTTTAAAGGTGTTCTACCAAGACATTAATCCAAATTTTTTTATTCTATTGTACAACGATTCACATACATGTACATGTATACCTAATACTTGAAATAGTTTTCTTTTCCCTCATAAATACTTACATAAATACTAAAAACCCATAGATGTCACTGACAATATGTGATTGTATTTGGACAATAACAAAGATCATGACGCTCAGAATAATGATTATTATACCAACAAAACACGGTATATTCATTGGAGATTTAAAGTTTTGAATTCGTTGATTAACTTTCGATATTATATGTAAATAGTGATCTCGTGTGATATAACTATTTAATTGGTCATCTGAATAGGAGAACGAATCGACATTAAATATGCCATATTTATCGGATATAACTAAAAAGATTTACAAAAAAACACTAACTTCTGTTTATCAAACGATCAGAAGAGTTAACTTACTTTCAAATTTGATTGTTGTCATATTGTATAAAATTCTTGATACATTTATGACATAAATGGAAAAAGAATATTATGATATGTGTAGAAAAAAAAAGAGCTATGGCGAGTCTGCGACGATGATGTTTGAGAAATGTAGAACAGAAAAACAGACAATGAGTCACATTTGTTCCTTGAGTACTAACTAACGGAAAGAAAGACAGACGAATGGATGAAGTACATGCGTGATAAAATTGAGTGTGAATGAAAATACACATTTTTTTAATAGCATAATTGAACATCAAAGAAGTAGACTATTTATGGAAGAAGACATAACGAAATTTTTTTGTGGATTTTGAAGGCTACCAAAATAAACAAGCTGCTGCCTTAGGTCTCAATTTGTGCGTCTTTTTTATGTTTCGCGATGCTGTCTTTCGTCATATAATTCAGATATTATAAAATTTTTATTCAGTTCTTGGTCAATCCGTTCAGATTACATTCTGTTTCAATAAATGATATAGTCTTGACCTGCAATACTTTGCATATTACATTCTACTTGAATGAAAATTCTCTTTTCATTTTTTAAGCACATAAACACCGACCCATCTCTATCAAGAATAATCAAAATGAATGCATACATATATTATAATGAAGATGTTTTTATCTCTCAAGTCGTTTCCTCCTCTGCATGGATAAACAATAAACCAATTAGAGATCAAAACGTACCAAAACCACATAGTAAAATTACACGAAGAGCCTTAAGTGTTTGAACAAATGTGTCTCATTTTTTATTTTTTTTTAAATTTTCTCTCGAATTTAATGTAACATCTAGTACAAAGGCAATGGGACAAATGCCGACTTCTATGTCTCTTCAATAGAAGAGTACTAAAAGAAAACTTCTTTTTATCAGAAGATAGAATTTTTTCTATTTCGAATCATCTATAACTTATTTTTATCGCATATCCATCAATAAAAGGTACAAAAACAAAAAGAAGCATTCTCAAAAAGAGATTCACAGTTTCCCTATAAATTAGCACAATATATGAATTCATATATTTTATCTTCTGGTGAAAAAGTATTCTTTCATCATTCTTCTATTGAAGAGACATAGGAGTCGACATGTGTCCCATTACTTTTGCATCAAATGGAATGATAAATAAATTTGATAATTGCTTTTGTTATGGTTGAACAGTCTCGGATTAAAATGATCTATTTTTGATTTTTATTTAATAATCATATATATACTCTTTCTGTGAAAAGAAGGATATCTAGTTATTTCTTCCGTCATGAAAATGACGCGTACGAAGATTAACTTCTATATTTATTGAAAAACAAAACCAAAAAATGATAAATATTTATCTACACTATCTTGTTCTAATTTCCTCTACTCATATATTATATTGATGAAATAATGTCACAATAGATATCATAGTAGAAAGAGAAATACAAAAACTTCAGAGTATCGAACAGAATTGCGACTTCTCATCAAGTTTCATCAAACGAGTAGCAATTATATGATGATTGATTATCATTCTTTTTATTTGAAAGACAATAAAAATTAAACTATATTTGAATTACATAGATCATGACAATAATAATATTTAACAAAATGCCGATTAACAGTAACTTTCTTTGATATTACATATTACAATATGAAATTTAAAACATTGATTTAATGATGATCAATATTTTGATTGCTCATTAACATTCTATATGAAAGTTCAATAAACTATTATAAATTTAAAATAATGTTTATAATTAGTTTTTAATAAAATAATTCTATCATCAAAAAAATGTATTATCAATATTTGAAAAATTTGAAACGTACCGTATGACTTCTAGTTATTTCGATTTAAGTTTCTGCTTATCAATTAAGTTCAAGCAAGAAAAAGAACGATAAAGAGATAGAATCCATTTTAATTAAGACTTTTTGTAAATTAAAAGAATTATAAGATATTTTATGAAATGAAACTCAGGCTTAAATCTAGTAAGGATATTTGAATCATATGTTCTTCTCTTTCAACTTGGTTTCTAATCTCATGAATATCTTTATCTGTTCTGCTTTAGAACTATCAGGTTTTACATATCCTTCCTTATTATTAATTGTCTACTAATTATTTCGAGCAACATAATTTTGAGGGTGTATTTTGTTGTCTGATCCGATCCAGATTCTAATTTCTTTTATGAAATCCAAAATTCACGTAATTGCAATCATTTTATTATGAAATAGTTATAAATAAAAAATGAAGATATTCTATTTGTCAAAAAACAGAGAATGTACTGTTCATCCACTTTATGCAATAATTTACTTTCTTAGTTATTGCAATAATTTTAAAATATTATCGTCGAACTATTATTACTTTAAAATCATCAAGTAAATTCATCAAAATAATTATTTTTGCACCTGAAGGATGTCTGGAATATGCAAGAAATCTGATTTTATGATAACGCTGAAATTTACCTGATATCAATAATATGTATCAGTAATCATATTCCACGTTTAATGCGAACAATCGATTGAAAAGCAAGTTTGCAAAGGTGGTAGATATCATTATATATATGTGATATGTTTTCACCTGAATTTTAAATGAAACTCTACAGTATGTCTAACAGGACTTTTCACGAAATTTCTTATTCTTCTTGAATGTAATCTAGTCCTCTTTCAAGGTTTTCTTTTTCGTTTCATTTTGGTGTTTGAGATAGAAGGAAATATGAAAGATAAGCATTAGTAACGCAAGATAAAAGAAATAATACGCGAAGAAGAGTGTGGGTATGGATGACTGACAAAGTAGGAAAGATTCATTCACATCAGCTTCAAAAATTTTTCATATTTAAGGATTTCTTCTGTCATATTTGATATTTATGAGCTATATACTGTTGTATTGCGTGTTTACTACTTATAACCTAAAATAAATACTAAAAGAGATAAATTTGCCTAGTCATAATTGAAAATATAAGATTCTAAATGAGTTTTATATGAAAAATGCAATTAGGAATATTTTATTAACTGTTTATATATAGTAAAAAGATTGCTCTACAATAGGAATAAATCTCAAGAATCAAGACTTCCAGATTGTATAGGATTCTGAAAAAACTCTCTATGATTTCATCGAATTTCAGTATTTGAGGGTTCCACTATTCCAGCCTTGGCATTATATTCATTAACACATGTCAACGAAATGAAAGAAGAAAGATATGGATGGAATACATATGCGTGATGAGGTCACAACAATGATAAGAAGGACGAAATGATCTACGACTACGAGAGATGACGTCTCCTAACATTCTCTATTGCAGGTACATAGAATTAATTAAACGAGAATTTTTGATGAAAATCTAAGAAATAATTGAACTGGAAGACTTTTCACACAAAGAAGTGGGTACAATCGGTAAAAGAGCAAGATACAGACAACATAAACCTTTATAAAAATAAGTTTATTTCTCATTTTTACTAGTTAATGGCAACATTATTGTTGAGTCGAATAAAGAGTGTTGAAATCAATTCGATTGGTTTTCTTTTCTGGCTTCAAGCAACATTCGCAGCAAGAAAGTACAACATGGAACACTACTAGTACCATTAGAAAAAATTTCATGGAACAGAACGAATATGAAGCTGCTCGATAAAGTGTTGCAGCCGCTCGTCACGTCGCAGCACGCATAAGACATTACTCCATCTTTTGTATTCGAAAGATCTGGACCAACATCGAGTCATTCGAATTATTCCAGTTTTGCCGAGCATGTGGCATGTGTAACCGTTATAGTCTAAATCTTCAATCACGTCTCGTAAATGCAAGTTTTTCCAGGCACCAATATTGTGATGTTCAAAGATTAGTAAACGGACTTGTTGGCGTTTAAGAATTGACTGAGCTCCTCTTAAAACAAGCGGATCAAAGCCTTCTGTGTCGATTTTTAATACATCAATCATATCTTGGATGGCATTCGCTTGAACAAATGCATCGAGAGTTGTAGTATTAACTAGCAGATATTTTTTCATATCTGCAACGTCTGTTTGTATTGTCAAACCACAATGTTCTATTCCTCGATCACATCTTAATAAGGGAACAGTACCAGACTGATTGCTTAGCGCTAGATTGTAGACATGCAGAGATGTATCGTTCATCCATTTTTTAACTTCGATCAAAGTCTCGTAGGTAGCAGGCTGCGGTTCGAATGCATAAATCACTACAGAAGCTTGGAAATCATCGGAAATGTTCAATTTCTTTGATAACAAAACGTCATTGCAGTCATTGCAAGCACCGCAATCAGAGAGTCCGAGCTTTTGAGATAAGTGTTCACTAAGAGTATGTGGATTTATCCCACTGCGTGGATTCCAAACGGACTTCCAAGCAGCCAAAACATAGCCCTTGTTTGCGCCAACATCAACTAAAGTCTTTCTATTTTGACGGCTTGTTCCCAAATCAGCAAGGTATAATTTTAAGATATAATCATCTCCATAACAAGCACTCCAAAAGGGTTTTTTCTCTATGTATCTCTTATAGGCTTTTCCTTGTTTTCCGCTTTCGCTTGATGTACAATTGAATAACGATGATGAATAAATCATTGTTCTTTCGAGTCGATACGGAGTATTCGAGGGCAGTGAAGGACCCAATTGAAAACTGATTCTATCGAATATCAAGAATAGAATGACACAACACAAACTTAATAGAATGAAGCGCACGTAGACACTCCGAATATCTCGGATATGAAACATGGTTTGATAATCGTATCTACAGAGAAAAAGCCACAATTTTTATGTTGAATGCCTTGGGGTAGGAGTGAGTGTGGAGGTGGGAATAGAGATGTTGAATTTGGCCATGGGTGTTTGTCTTCTCATCACACACGCCACGCTGCAATCATGCTCACACCGTGTTTTTAATTGTGGCAAAAAAAGTACTTAGAATCAGACAATAAGAGTATTATTTAAATTTGGATAAACTACTATTTCGAAAAATGTTCAGCTCGTCTTTTATTCTTCTTTTTTCAATAATGAACATTTTAATTCGAACTAAGCTGGCTGGTTTATTGATTTTCAGCAAGAGATAATGT